TGGTCTCACATGCCATGTTGAATCCGTTCAGGACTCGGACCACTGGTACGATCTGATATTGCAGACCGAGCTGTTCCAAGACCCTCGACCGAACGATGTTGGCCGAGCTACATGGATCAATTAACACACGTTTAACTCAAATTTTATTTACGAGTACATATATTACCAGTGCATCATTGTGAGGCTGTACGATCCCTTCCGCATCCTCGTCGTTAAAAGATAAAGTTCCTTATAGTATGTAGTACCGAGTTCGTTTCTCCCTAGTGATGGATACTTTGGTGAGTTTCAACATCGGCTCCTGTGGGATATCGACTCCACCGATGATCATATTAATAACGTGTTGAGGCTCTTCTTGTTCTATTTGTTTGTTAGAATCTCTGTTCCTAAAGTGGTTCTTGGCTCGGTCGCTCAAGAATTCTCGAAGGTGCCCATTTTTGAATAGACGGGCTACTTCCACTCTCAGCTGACGACAATCTTCCGTTCTATGACCGTGAGTGCCATGATATTTTCACATCTGGTTAGGGTCCCTTTGGGTTGGATCGGACTGTAAAGGCCGATGCCACTTGGTGTCTTTGATGCGGTCGATAGCTGATACAATGGCGGCAATATCGATGTTAAAGTTGTATTCCGATAGCCTCGGTGCTTCTTTAGGCCCGACGGACCTGTCGAAGCCATTCTTGGTCATGAGACCCCGGTTGCCTTGACCTCGGTCATTTCTCCTTTCGTTTCTTATGGAGTTCCGTCCGGACCCACTACTTCTTCGATCTCCATTATATGGCTGGTACCAATCCCTGTTTGGCCTCGGTTCACGATCGATGTCTCTCTTGACGATGAATTAATTACAAACCACATGAATTGGGTAACTTCAGAGTAGGAAAGCAAGCCACCCTTGAGTTGGATGCACTTTTATTGATATAAAAATATCAAAGAGTAAGAACTTAGAGAATGTATTGCTTATCAAGTATGTTACCATGTCCCTAATGAATTGTCAAGTCCTCTTTATATATTAGGGGAGATCTACCTTTTAGGGTATTATTTTATTGTTCTATAAAATACAAAAGTCCTTGATTTGCTGACCGTTGGTTCCCTTTTTTGAGTCGTTCCGTGATTTCTGCCATAATGATTGGTTAATGGCGAGAATTACGGACCCCTGTCGGATGAGTTGGCAAAACTTTCTTCGAGACTGTTAGAAACAGGGCCGGTTTATACTTTGGTAAATTCGAGGGCAAATCTGATGGTTTCGATGGCTAATATTGACAATGCTTTGGGTTCGATCTCAATCACCATGTTTCGATTTTGCCTGATTGTGTTGGATATTAGATCGATCTCCGAGCTAGACTTTATCCGATCACAGATATTTTGGCCCTGGCCTAATCAGGAAATTTCGGAAGCTCGATCGAATAACGAGCTCGATTTTACCCGTATACACAAATAATAATGAATTACTCCATTGTTCTTCATAGAAGTAACTAAAAATTTGAAAAAAAATGACCAAATTATATTTGTATCTTCAAAAAGAAGCGCACGAAGTGGAAGGTATTTATATTAGGTGCGCTTCTAGTGGTCTCTTCTAAAAATCACTAGTCTAGGTGAGCTAACTTGATACATGGGCTAGTGAGTACCAAATACTCATTGAAAACTAACTCGGACATCATCATTGTCTAGAAAAACACACTAAACAGTTAGATAGCACAAACTGCTCGAGGAGAGTATCACTTTGTTCACGTATTTCATGTCGGCAATTGGCTGGGTGTTTTAAACACCCGTTAGAATTGAAATTTGTCCCCCTTCAACTCATTCTTACCACGAAGATGCAAATTTTTTAGCTCTCATACTACCTGTATTCTACTAAAAATCAATCTCTACCCACCGTATGAAGTCGCTGTTTTGACTTTCACATGTCAAATTTGCTCCCAAAGCTGATTTTAAGAGATCAAAACTCTTGAATTTTTTTATGACAATAGGCAAGAACGATAAATTACACGATGAGTACTCTTACAAGAGGATTTGGCATTTAAAACTACTGAAATCCATCTAGCGATGCATCTTAGGAGGATCCAATTGTTGAATACGGACACGAGAACTATTTAAGTATAGTGTTAAGTAGGAGTTGCGGGTTCAGCACTTCAGCTCTTGCTACGAAATATGGAAGCACGAAATTAGAATATTGAATAACTATGATTTGAATTTTATGCAGCTACTGCCTAAATTGATCGACACATATACTTGATTTTAAGTGGTGAGAAATTATGGATTACGATGATGTTAGGTCTAATGTATGTATGGTTGTCGACACGACTTGAAATGATATATAAAACATGCTGTTCAACCAAATATATCCAACTAGAAATTCTAAAACTCGGTACCAACATTAACGACAATTAGTTCTACCAGCTGCTATTTTAGCACCTTTCCACCAGTAATAAATTGTACTCCAACTGTTTCAGAAAAAAATGAACCTATTATTATTTGGAGAGTCAAACAAGATTTTTTCTTAACATATTTTTTTGCAAATAGTTTTTAAATATTTTGAGTTGTTAACTATTGCGAATTATAATACTTTTTATGTAGTTTCTAGATATGTAAATTTTATTTCAAAAAATTTGAAGAATTTATGCCCGAATTCACACAAAAAATTAATTAATTTGACTCTCGTACTTCGAAAAGATTCGAAAAAATTAAAATGGAGGGAGTAATTACTATTAAGAATATAACAAATTGCTACAAGTCCTACGGTCCACAATGGTACTCGTCGGTAGCAAAGAGGGCCACCTAGAATATTGTTTGAAGTCGACTAGCAGTCGCTTTTCCTTTCCTGAAAAAGGAAAAAACGTGTTCAAAAGCTACTTCAATTTTAGTCCTTCACCACTTGGTTCCATTTTCCAGTCCCATTATTTTCTCTTTTTTGTCTATTTCTCAAAAAATTTAACCAAAACTGAGAAATGCATTATTGTGGGGAATATACTAGGACTCACTACATTATAATGAGATGTTTGACTTGGTTAATAGTCAAGCTTGTACTCCTTGCTTATCAAATTATACCATTAAGACTTTAACTTAATTATTTTATTAAAACATTTTAGCCCATTCTGGATGCTCACAATTTAAGACTTTAAATTATGAGTCCATCAACATCAATGAAGTCCTCTGGCATATCGATTTGTTTTTGACTTTCAAATCATAAACCCTGCATTTGATTGGCGAAATGCATTTCACAGCATACTATTTTTGTGATATAATTGAGAACCATTTAATTATTAATATAAGAATAATCAAAAGGGCCATTCAGTTGAAGAATTATTCCGAAGCCAGCATAATGAAGCTTTTTACGATCCCACCATTGGTGGACGCAGACTAAGTGCATTTTGGTGCACCTTATAGTTGAACAACTATTTAAAACTATAAGTTAGTAGTTAGTACAGACGAATATTGGGTAAATTTCACAAATGATCATATAACTATGACTTTTTTTTCTAAAGTCATATAACTTTATTTTCTCACACAAAAATCATATAACTATGACTTTTTCCATCAAAGTCATATAATTTTGTTTTCTCACACAAAAATCATAAAACTTTCACTAACTCACACAAAAATCATAGTGGTCGAAAAATAATCTTTTCGGTAGTATTTTCTTATTTTATATTTTTTTTATTTTTTATTTTCAATCTAATAAATAATTATCCAATTAAAATAGGAGAAATATGAGTATATTTTTAGTTGTTTGCAAAAATAATAGCCGATAAAATATTTTTTTTTTTATATATATGTGTATTATATACAAATAATATACACATTCTATATATATTTTGGCTAGCAAATGCAATTAGTTTCGGCCGGTCGATTAATTTTATATTTTTCTCTTAAAATAGGAATGACCCAACCTAGCCTGACCCAATACCCATATACGTAAGTTAAAATAACACTAAAAGTGAATTCTCCCCCCATAAGAAACTTAGTTCGGAATGCATGAGATTCTGACAAAAAATTAGGAAAATAAAAGATATAATTAGAAAGAACTTGAAATAAAAATGTTATCGATTTGAATAAAAATCTTGAAAAGAAAAATAAAAGATAGAAGTATCATGTTTTGAAGGATGTACTATTCACTTTTAGTATCACTTTAATTTTTATATACTCCCTCCGTTTCAATTTATGTGATCACATTTGACTGGGCACGGAGTTTAAGAAAAGAGAGAAGACTTTCAAACTTGTGATGTACAATGAGACACATATATTTTGTGTGGCTATAAATCATTGCATAAAGGTAAATTATTTCCAAATAGAGAAAATGGTCATTCTTTTTGACACGGACTAAAAAGAAAATAAGTTCACATAAATTGAAACGGAGGGAGTATGAGTAGTGGGTCGGGTGGGCCAGGTCGGGTTGGATCATCCCTATTTTAATTGGATTATTATTTATTAGACTGAAAATAAGAAAATAAATAACCACAAAACAAAAAAATACTACCGAAAAATTATATTTTCCAATTACTATGATTTTTGTGTAAGTTAGTAAAAGTTTTATGATTTTTGTGTGAGAAAACATAGTTATATGACTTTGGTGAAAAAAAGTCATAGTTATATAGTTTTTGTGTTATGACTTTAGTGAAAAAGTCATAGTTATATGACCATTTGTGAAATTTACCCCATAAATATTGTAATTAATTTTTATATTATCAGTGCAATTTAATCAGTTTTACATATTATTATTTTCTCTAAGTTATCAATCAATAGAGTTACTGTAAGTTTTCCTACGTATGTGCCCAATAGGTTTAAGACCCATAATTAATATTTAATTAATGATCAATCTCATTTGTCCGATCAGTTACTTGATGGACGTACCAGATTAAGTGAGAACCTCTATAAATTGGTCATCTCCCCACCCATTAAGGTTACCATATTTTATTTTTCTCTCTTCCATCACTAAAGTCGGCGGTAACGAAAGTTAGGGTAAGGGGCGAGAAACCAATTCCAATCAACGCTTCCGCTTCGTGATAATGGCTTATGATTTAGGTATGTTTTCTATATTGATTATATGTAAGATTGTTATGTTCAAGATCCTGGTATGAATTAAAGTTTATGCTTACACGTGGAATCAGAGCCTGGATTACTTGAATTGATAATCTTCATTAAAAATAATAAACTTTTGCGAATGAGTTGCTGTTTTGAAATTATGTATACCTACGGTAATTACGAAATCATGCCATACCTTTATTCACTACCGATTTTTGTAGATTTCTCTGTTTGTGGAAATCGAATGTATCAATGGATAATAAATTATCGAAAAAAGAATCTAATAATTTGTAATTCTTTTATCTTACGTTTTTGCCTTTGCTTTCCCGCTGTTGGCCGTAAATATTTAATCAGTTTGAAGGTTGAACAGTGAAAGTTTAATGATCTTGACGGCTGGTTGATTACTTTTTCTTAGAGTTTACTCTGACACCTAAAGTTAATACTTACCCATAAAGTAGTACTACACAATTAATGATAATTGGCTAATAAAGAAGGAAAGTAACTAATGTTTGTACTGGTAATCTAAACCTGTGAGATTAAATTACTCCACAATCTCACCAATAAAGTAACGTGACCTTTGAAGTAGATATTCGGCCTCAACTTTCTAAGCCCATAATGAATGTTTTTGTTTTTAAAAGTAATTTTCCATAAGTTGATTTAGAATTCATTACTGTTTTGCCTTGGCCATAGAGCAATTCGATTGGGCTATTAGTTGATAAAGTCAGTTATTATTTATTTTATGTATGTGATTATATTAGAGATAGTTTGTTAGTCACCAAAGTGATCAAACTAAATTGTTTAAAATATTTACATGCATAAAATTTTTCGATGCTTATTTTATGTGTGCATTTATGTTTATATAGTTTGTTAGTCACCAAAGTGGCCAAACTAGTATGTTTATTAAAAGTATGCATACATAAAATTATAATTTATCCATGAAATTAATAAAATTCTTATAATTGAAAATTAGTGGATAAATTAACTTTTACTATTGCTAGAACTTAAGAATTTACCCAAAGGTAGATCAATCATTCTATGAATAGTAAATATAATGAGGTAAATTAATATTCTTAGTCAAATATATATTGTCTATCCAAAGATGTCATATATGTTTGGTTAAAAATATTTAATTGCCTATTAATGATTAAATGACATTTAAATTATGATAGTGTGTCGTAGTATTTACCCAAAGGAGAATTACGATATGCTTTAACTGTTTTGCTGAATCCATATTGATTTGTGAGCATGTATTATCTATTTTGCAGCTATTCCTCTTCATTCGCATGCTTCGTCTGTTACTGTGTTCAATGGATTGAACTTCTCTGAATGGCATGAACAAGTCCAGTTCCACTTAAGTGTAATGGATCTTGACTTGGCTCTGCTGAATGATAAGCTCACTGCCATTACTGATGCAAGCAGTTCAGATGAGAAGTCTTTCCATAAAGCATGGGAACGCTCTAACAGTCTGAGCCTTATGTTTATGCGAATGAGTATTGCCAACAACATTAAGAGTACTATTCCACAAACAGAAAGTGCCAGGGAATACCTGAAATTTGTGGAAGAACGTTTTCGTTCTGCAGTTAAGTCTCTCGCTGGTACACTAATGGCTGAACTCACGACCATGAAGTTTGATGGGTCGCCTAGTATGCAAAATCATATCATCGAGATGACTAAATATTGCAGCAAAACTTCAGACCTTGGGGATGAAAGTTGATGACTCCTTCTTGGTTCAGTTTATTTTGAACTCGTTGCCTTCTGAGTATGGACCTTTTCAAATTAACTATAACACTATTAAGGATAAGTGAAATGTTAGTGAATTGTCCAGTATGCTTACTCAGGAGGAGTCAAGACTTAAGAAACTGGGGAGTCATTCAATTAACATCATGGATCAAGGAGCTGGTAAATGACTTAAAGTGAAGGCCAATAAGTTCAAGAAGAAGGAAGCACCTGCTAAAGCTCCACAGGATGCTAAGAAGGAACATAAGGCAGATACGTGTCCTTTCTGTAACAAGGAAGGACACTATCAGAAAGATTGCCTGAAACATAAAGCTTGGTTCGAAAAGAAAGGTACAGTTAGTGCTTTTGTATATTTCGAATCAAATTTAGTAGAAGTTCCTAATAATGCTTGGTGGCTTGATTTTGGTTTAACTGCTCATGTATCTACTACATTGAAGGGATTCCTTACGATCCAAACTATAAATCCAAATAAGGATTTCTTGTTCATAGGAAATCGTATGAAGGCTCCAATTGAAGGCATAGGGACTTATCGTTTGATCATGGAGACTGGACATCACCTTGATCTATTATAGACTCTTTATGTACCTTCAGTTTCTAGGAATTTGATTTCTCTTTCAAGACTTGATGTTTCTGGATTTGATTTAAAGTTTGAAAATGGATGTTTCAATTTATATAAGAATGCTATTTTTTATGGTTCTGGTTTTCTTAGTGATGGTTTATATAAATTGAAACTCGATATTGGTTTTTCTGAATCCCTTCTTACTGTTCAACATAATGTTGGAATTAAACGTAGTTCACTAGATGAAAGTTCTGCTTACTTGTGGCATAAACGGTAGGGGGAGAATGTAAAGACCCAACCGGTCGTTTTGAGTATTACAACCTTGTTCCCCCATTTAATGCTCAATTTATGCTTTACATTTATTATGTGACTTTCCGGGGGTAATCGGTTCGGGTCCGATGAGATTTTTGAATAATTTGAAACACCTAGTTCCAAGGTTTCGAAATTACGTTGAAAAAGTTGACCAGATGTTGACGTATGTGACCCCGGAGAATTTTTGCTAAGGAAATTAAGGTTTTGTGGTGCCAGGGTAGATCAATTAGTACAAAGGCAAGCTCGCCGCGGCTCAGACTTTTTGGGTTGAATAATGCACCGATGTGTAAAGAAAACTTTTTGCCTGAAAAAGGGTCATTTCTGCGACCACTATGCGGTCGCAAAATTACTCTGCGAAATGCATAATGGTCGCAGAGTGGATCAGGAGAGGGGCAAGTGTGGAGGAAAATTTGCGGCGCATTATGCGGCTGCAGATCAGTTATGCGGTGCATTATGCGACCGCAGAACAGGTCTGCGGACCGCATAACGACCGCATACTGAGGCAGCCTTGCCCAGTTCCAGAGGCCACATTTCGTGGCCATTTCGCGAGCTGCATAACCGTTATGTGATCGCCTATACGACCGCAGAGTGTGTTTCGGGGCTTAATTTTTCTGATTTTATAAACCCGACCCTATTCTTATAAAATATTATTGGGGGTCATTTTGAAGGGTTTCATATGATATTTTAGAGAGAGATGTGAGCATTTTAGAGATAGAAAGTGAAGACTTAGTCATTTATCCATCAATTCTTATTCAAGGTTTGAAGATTTCACAAGGGCTTCAAAGAGGTAAGAATTTCTTTCCCCAATTCTTCAATTTCGGGTTCGGAGTAAAGATGAACGATTAATAGTATGATTCTTGGGTGTAAGAGTATTAAGTATACATACCAATAAGGTTGTGAAAAGATTGTTAAGTTCAAATGGGTAAATATTGGGTTGAAAATGGTAGAAATCTTCATAGACTTTAATTAAAGATTTGAGGGTCGAGTTGATGTCGGAATTTGGTAAAATTTATACGGTTGGACTCGTGGTTGGATGGGCGCTCATATTTAGTAACTTTTGTCGAGTTCCGAGACGTGGGCCCCACATGCGATTTTTGAGTTAATTTTGAATTTTATTGGAAAATTAGTATTTCCTTATGAAATTAATTATAATAATTGGTATTGACTGAATCGAATTAATTGGGGCTAGATACGAGGTTTGCGGAGACCAATTCTTATGGCAAGGGGATAGCGGAATAAAGAATTACATAGTTTGAGGTAAGTAACAGTTCTAAATTTGGTCCTGAGGGTATGAAACTCCGGATTATGTGTTATGTGATTTGTTTTGAGGTGACACACATGCTAGGTGACGGGCGTGTGGGCGTGCACCGTAGAAATTGTGACTTGGTTAAATTCCATGGAACTATGTAGTTGAATAATCTGTTGATACCGGTACATCCTCTACGTGTTAGAGAAAATTGAGCTGAGACTCGTATTAAAAATTATGCTTAGACATATGATGTTATTATTGGTACACACTGGGGTCATTTCTGTGGTTGAATTATATGTTCAAAGTGTAATTTCACACTCAGTCTTGTTTATTCACTTCATATCATATCTCAATCTCTGTTGCTATTTATTAATACATCATATTATCATTTTTTTGGGCTGATTATCATGATTTCTAAGAGCCCGAGAGACTGGAGAGGTTGATGACTGAGTGAGGCCGATAGCCTAATTGTGAGGATATTTAAGGGATCGGGCTGCACGCCGCAGTATGTTTCATTGATTTATGCCATGATTGGCTTGATATAGCGCTTGGGCTGAAGGAGCCCCTCTGGAGTCTGTACACACCCCCAGTGAGCGCAGGTACCTACTAAGTGTGAGTGCCGAGTGATGAGTGACTGTGAGGAAAGAGTGACTGTGAGGTTGGAGTGAATGGGAGAACTGAGTGACTGTTACTCTGAGAAGATGTATTGATTTCATTATTTGCTGCATTTCAACTGTCATATATCACTATTTTTGGAAATTTCGGAAAAACATTATTGTCTGTTTCAATCAAATTTGTTATGAAATTACTATGAATTTCTAAATGTTGAACTTGAGAGCATGTCTACCCTTTTATGTGGAAAAGTACTCTATTTGGACTTAGCTGTGAAGCTCGTCACTACATTCAGTTCTTATTTATTATTGTTACTTACTGAGTTGGTTGTACTCATACTAAACCCTGCACTTCGTGTGCAAATTCAGGTGATCCCGGACACAGTGGATATTCATTCTTTCACACAGTTGATTTTCTGGAGATTCGGAGGTAGTTACTATGTTTCGCAGATCTTGTCTCTCCTCCCCTATCCTTTTGTTTATTGTATTTGGTCTCGGATTATTATAGACCGGGTTTCCCAGACTTGTAATGTATAAATGCTCATGTACTCAGTGACACCGGGTTTTGGGAGTGCGTTTATTTCTAATGTTTGTGGGATTTACTCTTAAACTTAATTATTATGTTTTCAGTATTTAAAAAAAATTGTGGGTTATTGATGTTGTCGGCTTGCCTAGTATCGAGATAGGCGCCATCCCGACGGTTGAGATTTTGGGTCGTGACAAGTTGGTGTCAAAGCCTAGGTTACATAGGTCTCACGAGTCATGAGCAGGTTTAGTAGAGTCTTGCGGATCGATACATAGACGTTTGTACTTATCTTTGAGAGGCTTCCGAACCCTTAGGAAAATTTCACTTTCTTGTATTCTATCATGCAAACTGGTTGATTCCGGAAAACTAAAATTCTGTTATTCTATTCTCTCACAGATAGTGAGAACACGTACTACCGGATCGGACGGGCATCCACCAGTGCCACCAGTTGGGGCAGCGAGAGGCCGGGGCCGTGGTAGAGGTCGAGGTGTCGCTAGTACAACAGTTGGAGCAGCACTTGTAGCACCACCAGTTGCTCCAGCTCAGGAGCAGATTCCGGATATAGTTGAGCCGGCGAGACCCACTTAGGCACCAGCTGTGCCCATTGAGATTCCAGGCCTACAAGAGGATTTGACTCAGATATTGACAGTTTGCACTAGCCTTGCTCAGGTAGTTTCGGCTCAGGCCACACCAGCCACTTCTCAGGCCGGGGGAGGTACTCATACCCCTATTTCTCATGCTCCAGAGCAGGTAGTGCAGGGACTTCATATACCGGGGGCACTACCAGCCCAGCCAGATGAAGCTGCTCAGGCCCCGGTAGTCCCCGTTATGGCAGAAGATGAGTAGAGGAGACTTGAGAGATTTGGGAGGCTTCGACCTCCATCATTTAGCGGTGCTGAGTCAGAGGATGCTCAGGGATTTCTTGATAAGTGTCAGCGGATGATGCGGACAACGGGTATTCTGGAGACCAGTGGGGTCTCGTTCACTATTTTTCAGTTTTCTGGAGCTGCCTTCAGATGGTGGGAGGCTTATGAGAAGCGCAGGCCGGTCGGTGCAGTACCACTTACATGGCAGGAATTCTCCGTTCTATTTTTGGAGAAGTTTGTGTCGCAGTCTCGCAGAGAGGAGCTGCGCAGACAGTTTGAGTAGTTACGTCAGGATGGAATGTCTGTGATATAGTACGAGATGAAATTTTCTGAGTTGGCTCGTCACGTAGTTTAGTTGGTTCCCACTGATAGGGAGAGGATTAGGAGGTTCATTGATGGCCTCACATATCAGTTGCGGTTACTTATGACTCGGGCAAGAGTATCAGGTGCTACTTTTGATGAGGTAGTTAACATTGCTCGGCAAATAGAGGTGGTCCGTAGTCATGAACGTGGAGAGAGGGAGGCCAAGAGGCCTCGTGGACCAGGTGATTTCAGCGCTGTTCCTTAAGGGGGTCAGTTTTACCGCGGTAGGGGTCGTCCTTACGGACACGCTCAGACGGGTCGTCCAGTTCACCGTGGTGCATCATCCGGCTAGGGTTCATATAGTTCTCATCAGGGCCAGTAATCTCTTAGTGCCCTTCCAGCCCAGAGTTCGTCATGTGCCTCTTCAGTTCAGGGTTCATTTGCACCGGGTGCTTCTAGCAGTTATTCTGGTTCTCGGGGCCCGATTCATTCCGCACCACCAGTACCAGGTAGCTACTTTGAGTGCGGGGAATTTGGGCATATGTGGAGAC